CTTGAGTTTGCTCCTTGATGGACTCTTCAATTGGTGGCAGTGGTTCCGATATAGCTTCAATGACTATGTAAGCCATTTTGAGAGAAGTGAGTAAGAAGAGCACCTTTTATTGCCATCTTTTGAAGTTTGTTCCATTAAAGAACACGAGTCTTGTGAAATTGTGATTAATGACTTTCAAGGAAGTCATCGCAGCCTCCTTGTTTTCACCCCATGCAATATCGTATTGAAATATTGGAAATTGGTTAGGTGAAAAAGAGAAAAAAACAGAGAATAAATTAGTTGAACTCCTTTATTATTTTCGGGCAGACAGAGTGCTTTTTAAAGACGCCTTTTTAATAACGTAAATGGTGTGCATAAAAAAAAGGCAAATTGTCTTGGGATAGAGGAAAACAAAAGGTCTCAGCACTTCTAAGTCCTATGCACCCAAGCTAGAAGCCTACTATATAGAGCATCATAGTCTTGTATTTAAGATAGAGAAAGAGAGAAAAAACGAGTAGAGAGAGAGGGATGAGCACTTTGTTCTATTTAAAAATTTGTATGTGGAATGATGTATATTGTGTATTTCTAGAATGAGAAGAAGACACGTTATATAGAGCTTTAAGAGGTCGTGAATTTATTGTTTGAAGGGGTTACATAGGCTACCAACAGTCATATGTTACACATACCGGCCTTAATCTTGACGGATGTGATTCGTTAGAAGCCTCTGTCTTCAACAGCTAGAGCTTTTGCGAAGTTCAAAGTGCGTCCTCGAGCCCATGCCCTCACCCGTACGCATGTGTGTGTCGTATGCTTTGTGTACCTCGCACATGCACCATCATTATCACTTTTCTTTTAAGAGTATAAAGTATGAGAATGTCCACACTTAAATACCACTCAATTAACACTTTCCTCTTCAACCTGGTACTAAAAACCCACACGATTCATTCTCTACAAAATAAAGCTTAGAAAAACCTCACAAAATATATATTATTTTGAAATACACACTTATATTTTACAAAACCAAATATACTAACAATTCCTATATCGAGTTTTCTTTGGCTAGCAATCATTTACCTTGGGTTGTTGTTCATGTTATTTACTAATGTTATTGTTGTTATTTTATTGTGTTCTCTCAACAAAATCATTATATGTTTTGTGTGACAACACTATCAGAAGCATGCCATGTTATTATGCCAAAGGGAAATTTAGATAAAAATTTGTTAAATAGACTAGATGCTACCAAGTCATGACATAAAATTACTTTTATGTGAATTCATTGTAACCTCACAATAATTGTCAATTGGAGATTTATTTTTGTGTCCCTCTATACATACTTAATTGTTTTAGCCAAATCCTAAATATTAATTATTTTTTAACTTACTTTGTTTTTTGCATTCCTATTTTTTGTATCACATTTTGAAAAAAAAAAAACCTTGATATACAACCAGTTTATTAATTTGCTGATATATTTTTATTCCCTGACTTGCTAACTATGGTTTGATCATAGGAGTTTCAAACCTATGAGTTGTCCGTGTTTCATTGTTAGACGTAGGTTCTGGTTAATTGTAGCTCGCCATGCATGTTCCCTTCACAAGAAAGGTTCATTCATGCATTGGTTGGGCATTCCTACTGTTTATTTTTTGTTTTTTCCATGCAGTTTCATAGTAACAATAATATACTTGGGCAGTGCTAGCCAATTGTAGTATTTTTTTGGCTTTTTTTAAAGTATAAAAAGCTTTTTTTTAAAGAAATACACCTGGCAATCTACACCCCCCACCCCACCACCACTCGAAAAAGAAAGACTTTTTGTAGTGACTTTAGTTATACATAGCATATGATATAAATGGCCCCTTCGGCTTTCACAATTTTTTTTTTTTTTTTTTCACACTTACGAATTCTTTGTAAAAAATAATTACGAATTCTTTGTAAAAAATAATTACCAGTGAAAATATCTGATAAATCTTATCTTAATTGGAAATTATAGGGAGTGAGTATGTCATAACTATGATGATTCTTAGGTACTAGCCCGTTTCCACCGGGCTATAGGGGCGAGAGAACACGAAAATCATTTGAAGATATCAGAGAGACTTTTGGTCAAGATCGGCTCGGTCGGTCCGACCTAAGAATACCACGGCCTGGGCCATGAAATGTGATCCGAGGGCCGGGCATACACCAAGCCTAGACCAGCCTGGCTCCGATGGACAAGGACCGGACTAGGGCTAAGGCTAAGGCTGGACCAGCCCATTGCCAACCCCACATCAGCAACCGCACATGAACCTTAAATATCTTTGTTCTTAATGAAGGAATAAATTTGGTAGATGCCAAGGGTATTCTTGTCTATAGGATTTACCAAGCAAGAACACATGGTGCCGTCTAGGAAGAAAAAGTGGTCTAGGTCCAATATACAGGCTTCTAAATTTAGAGGCTCTCTAGGATTTGGAAAAGGTTTATATAGAGCCGAGGCTCTAAATAATCAAATTAGAACCCACATACAAAATTTTATTAAAAGAGGTTGTTTTGATGCTCAAATATCTTCAAATTGATCATCTCGACATCAAAATGCATGGACATGAAAAAAAAAAAAGGATTTTAAAGTTTTGAAAATAGTTGCATCATGTAACACATTTTTTGGACTATCAATTTTCAAGATTTTTCATGTTTTCATAGATTTACTTGATCTACACTATTTTTGAAGCTTTAAATTTTATTATTAATGTCAAAAATATATTTTAAGGCTATCATAAAGATTTCCAGTATTAAAACCATATTTCTCGATACTATTTGAAGGTGGGCTTTACTTTGATTGTTTAGAGCCTCGGCTCTATACAAATCGCACCCTAAATTTTTCATTAAGAGAGAGAGAGGACTAAACAATAGAGCCCAAAAGATATTGTACTCCAGCAAGAATATATTATTTAGTATTTGCTTGTGTAAAACCCTATCTAGAATGAATTTTTGGCTCCCAAATTTTAGGGGTGTAACCTCTTCATCCCATTGATTACTTCAATTTAAAGTATTTTATAATTGCACCATCTATGCAATTAAAAAGATAATGTCTCGAAATTGCTTAGAGATCATCCAATTTTTAGATGAAAGATCTAAGTTTTAAAAAACTAAAATTTTAAAATGTTTCTTTTGATTATAATCATTTAGTGATTCTCAGGTGGTTCGCAATATTTCAAATAAAAAAAATCCTCCCAAATAAATCTTCTCACCCAGGGAGTAGAAATAAACCATGCTCTTGAAAGAACATAGCGTATGTACTGATAATGGAAAGCACAAAACACGTGGCGACAGAAGAGCTTTTACAAGGCAAAAACCTATTTAAGAGTTTTTTTTATGACTTTAAATTTAGGAAAAAAAAAATTTCTGCCTCTTTTTTTTTTTAATTAAAGTATATAGAAAGGAATGTTCTAACTCAAAATATAAGGACGTAACCCTCTCAACCGATCAAGCAGCAACCACCGTTGAGACTTATAAACCAACCTCAAGAATTGCAAACAACGATCAATAATTGTACTAGAAAATAGGATTGCATGCTATAAGATTATTTGTTCTTTTGGTACAATGAAGTCATATACCCATATTATAAAATGTATGGCCAGAAGGTATCACATAATTGAAGAAATTTATTTTAGATTTGGAAAATAGTTTGGAAAAATTATTTTAAATTAATCATCTAAGCTTGAACATTATGATTGTGTAAAAAAAAAAAAAAAATTCAAATTCTAAAAATAGTGTATATTGCAACATCTTGACCATCCATTTTGCCCTAAAACTAAGTGTTTATAGATCTTGTAGATCCATACCATTTTTTGAGTTTCAAATTTTATTGTCGGTGTTGAAAATCAATTTTAGAGCCATCATGAAGATTTCTAATGCGAAAGTGCTTTTCAGATGAGGATTTGACGTGAGGCTTTATTTTGTTTTCATAACGTTTGGGCCGTATAAAAACTTCATCCTTTAGATTTTGTGTTAATAAGTGATATACCTTTAGCCACCGGGTTTCACATCTAACTGTTATTAGTAATTGTGATTTTTTGTATCAAACATGAATGGCCTTGTATATATTGACAAAAAAATTAGTCTCTGAAATATAAATAGAGACCATTCAATATTGAACGGTTAGATTAAGTGTTTAGGAACCAAAAATATTTTTTCTTCAATTACTAATCACTAAAAAGCTCATGCCAAATGTCAGACAAAAAATATCTTCCCAAGTAGGCATTTTGCCTAAGGCAATAATTGGCGGCAATGGGCCTGGTGGCTCGGCCTGCCCTGTCCAACCAGCCCAACCCTAAAAAGTAAAGCCTAGGACACAAAATATGACCCCGAGCATAGGGTAGGGCCGGGTCTGGCTAAAACAAAACCCTAACCCTAACCATTTGTTGCTCTTTATAACCGAAGAGCAGCAGCAAACATATGCTAGTTGAGGTGAGATCTCAAAAAGGAGGAGGTATCAATTCCCTGCATTGCAAAATACCCGAAATTTCGTCCCTAAAATCCGAAACTTTAAAACCTTGGCGACATCTCAAGGAATCTTTGAGCCTCCTGGCCCCCTTTCCATAAAAAGGCCAAAAACGAAAACATTTTTAAAAAAAGAAAAAAAGAAAAAGAAAAAGAAAAAAAAAGAGATATCAAACAGTACAATTTGTTCAGTCCCCCTCTCTTACAAAAAGACAAATAAGAGGCGTCACGTTTTGACGCCTACAACCTAAAATTGACGCCAGGCGTCAAGACACAAAATCTTCTTATTCCTTCGAAGACAGAATCTTGGTTTGAAAGAAAATCAAAATACACTGTTTTTCTAAAACTAAAAAATTTGTAAAAAACTAAAATTGTTTCTTCTTTTCATCCAATGGCGTTCTAAGAACTGATCTGAACTATGCCACGTGGAGTTTATAAACGGTTCCACGTGTACCAATCTAGGTCATCCTGTCTCAAAAGATCGGCCCACTTCCTAGATAATCGCCGATATTTTTACTAACTTTTCTTCCTTTTTTCTTTTTTAAGCTTTTTGTTTGATTAGAAAAAGGAGCTTCTCTGTTTTACTGTTGCTTATTCTCTTCTGGTAAAGATAAGGCGCCAGATTTTTTTGGGTATATTTTTGTACGGGAGATCTTGTTCTGCTAACATTTTTGCGATTAATTCCGCTGATTTCTTACTAATGGAGAAAGGCTTTGGATTGGATCTAGTTGCTTAATATCACTGAAATTTTCAGGTGATTTTTTTTTTTCTTTTCTCTTTGTTGATGGGTTATCTCTTTCTATTGTTTGTTTGTTTGATTTGTCATTTGTTAATTTTTTTGATATGATTCTTTGTTTTTGTTCTGATTTTTGGGTTTTTGAGTTTTTTTGTTTTTTTTTTCAAATATCTATTTTCACAAATTACTTAATCATTTGGTGGTCTTTGGTGAGTTTTTTTGCTTATATAATGGTGAATGTTGGTTTATGGATCTATGTATTTGGGATTGGATTTGTTGCCCCGATTTTTCTATTTGGGTTTTCTTAGATCTCTGGGTGAATCCATTTTTGTTGGATTTGGTTAAGGTTTTTTTATTTCAATATTGTTGCAGAGATTTAAGGCGATTGTTATGGTTATCCTGTTTCCAAGTTTTCTTTTTTGATAGTTAAGTTGGGGTTTGGGCAAGTTCCTTACCGGTCTCTTAATCTGCTTAAAAGAGTACATAATTTGTATTTTAAATCTCACTAATCACCTTTACATTCCACAAAAACTCAAAATTTCCCTAAAGAGAGAGTTGTGAAAGTGTAACCCTAGGTCAGCAAATGTTTCCTCATTGGTCGCATCAACACGAAACTGTATAGGATAACCATTTGCATTTGTAAAGGATAGAAGTTTGTGAATGTTGAGACACAGCCTCATTTCTTGTGAAGCCATGGCACGAGTGCATGCAGAAATTTTATTTCTTTCCTTTATAACTAGTTCTTTCACTTCTTTGGTAACACTTGTTGAGTTTTCAATTTTCATGTGACAAGTATCAATTAGTGTATCATTTGAAGGTTGAAACTGTTTTTCTTTTTAAGTTTTTCTTAACCGATGCAGGTTGACGTGAAATTTTCAAAGGTTAAATGTGAGAATTAAGCAGTACACTTTGTGCTTTTGCCACTTGGGCTTAAAATAGTTCTCATTATTAGCAATCAAAAGAGATATCTCATTACTACTCCGAACACTTCCACGATTTGATTCAACTGTAACTAATGAATCAAAGGCATCTTTGTTCTTAATAAATGCTGAGTAAAATTTCTTAAATAAACCAATGGTGAATATGTATATTGGGCATTTCCTTGTGTTGTTGCAAATGCAGGTCATAAACACTGAGGAAAATAAATAAAGTGAACCCAGTAGAGTTTTAGAGCTAAGAAATCATTAAGGAAAAGAACATCCCTGATGTGAATGCATTGTTGTTGGATTGGAATAATCTTGAGTCCATGTGCAACTACAGCACCTCATCCTCTGATCCTTAAATCGTAATAATATCATTAAACATCCAGGTTCTTATCTGCATATAAGGCATGATGTTTGCGGTGGACAATGCATTATGACATGCAAAATTCTAAGCAAGTGAATTAGATTTCCAACAGACGCACAAACACCCATCATGTTTTTTAACATGTCTCATGTAGTATGAACTTTGCTAACATAATAGCTCCCATTTAGACGGATGTTCACAGAACAAAAGCCCCATTTTACCTGTAATTTCTGTTCTACCCTTTATGTATGAAATAACATGCTCTGCTCAAAAATTATTTTGCATGATGCGGTTGGCGTGTTTACTGTTCCATAATCTTGGGTGTATTAATAAAGGTCCTGCTGTCCTGACTGTAAGTTTTATACTTGATAGAGTTGTGTCCCTTTGGATAACTTGATTTTTTGTCACTATGCACTGCTGTGAGTTAGTTTATAAATCAAAGTGATAGTGATTCTAGTTTTGAATGGTATTTATCCTGACATCTGGCCTTTATTTTTGTCACCAGTTTTGTGCTTTCATCTTGCAAGTTTCTTTTCTAAATTGCGTACTTGATGTTGATCTGTGCAATTCTCAGGGATGTAATTGTTGGCACTATCCATAAAGTTGTTGCTCCTGCATACTGAGCTGGAAGATATGACAAGCATGGAGATATCTGTTAATATTCCAGATAATTGCAATGCAAATGCAAATGCAGAAATTGGTCGAAATATTTTTTGCATATTCAGTTCGAGGGAGGCTACGCATAATATTTCAATGGAAAATATGGAGAAAATCAGAAATATAATGATACAACACGAGAGATTATTCAAAGAGCAGGTTTGGAGCATCCTTGTTGCATAATAGGATGCCTTGGGTTACTTGAGAAATACTTGGACATTTTGTACATGATGTTGTATCTTAATCATTACGTAATTTCTATTTTCTACTGAACCTTTTGCTCGGCATTATTAAATTTCTGATGTAGTCATGAAGCTATAATAATCCCAGAGGGTAAAGAGAATTTTAATGATATACCCATTCTTAGTTGAATTTTGTACATGGTGTCTTAGTGCTATGGTTGGCGATAGTTCCTATTTGTATATTAGTAAAGTATACTATAGTCCCATTAACTATGGATAAACAGTGGTCAATTGGCCATCAATGTCCATCAAGCTAGTGGATGGTGATGGAAAGAGAGTAGGACCCACCATTGGAATCATGTCTATTCTTGTTGGGTCTCTGATTCTTTCCATCACCGTCCATCATTTCAACTGAAGGTGATGATCTAATGGACAATGAAATGATTTTGTTTTAGGAGATTCGATTATGCTTATCCCATTCCCAATGTTTCCCCTGCTCCTGCACAATGTCCCTCACCAACCTAGCACTTGTGAGCATCTCACTTTTTTGTTGGGAAAACAACCATTGGCCATAAGTAGATGTAAAAGTTTAAGTTCAAGCTTGATGTTCTTTTGCGTGTTACAAGGATCACTTTGAGGCTCAAGTGTTTATTCTTTGCCCTGTTCTCCTGACCATATTGATACCCTGATCTCCTGACCATATTGATACCAAAATCCTTTTCTCCATCACCATCTTACTAGTGCTGAGTCCTCTGGATTATTAGATGCCAAATTGCACCCCTGTCTGCCACCTTTAGAAGCCCCCATAAACACCAACAATCTCCCTGAGCTTGCAACAATTAGGAATGATATCAATGGCTCCCAACAGATTTTGACCATTAGTGTTACTCAAATCTAGTGCCGTTACTGTTGTTTTACTCATGTATTATTCTGTATATGTAAAAGTTTATGCGTGACTTTGTCCTATTGTATGTGTAGATCCCTAGTATTTAATATTGTAGATCTCTTTATTGACTGCATTCTTGCATTTAGTTGTGCGTGTTGCAGATTAATGCATTTTTAACTTTGTATTGCAGATTATTTTTCTGTGATACGACACATATTGATTTTGATTTTATTTTATGCCTTCACAACTTAAACTGTAAAATGTGTTTGTTTGCCAGGTGCGAGCATTACATAAACTCTACAGCATCCAGAAGTTAGCAATGCAAGAAATAAAGACCATGTTGTTTCATCCAAGCAAGCTGTTCTCATTTAATTCTAATGATCCTCAAATTCCTCAAGCCCATCCCAAAGAACCTCATGCTTTTCCAGTTCCAGACTTCTCTAACCCACAAAGCCTTTTCTGGATGGGTCCCAAAGAAGTTGATCCTTCCTCCATCAGTAGAAGAGATACGAGGTGGGGAATTGATCTTGAAAGGCCACCTGAAGAATATATGGATGAACTAGATTATCAAGTAGAAAATAAGCCTGATTTATCAGACAGAGATGGTGTAATACCTGGTGGTCTTGCAAATAATTTTTCTCGCTCATTCATGGGAATCAATCAGTTTGCTTCTCAAGCAGGTGCACAAGCACAAGCTCAGAGTTCGAGTCCAAGACCAGGTTCGGAAAGAAGGGATGGGAGCAGCTCTTTCGCTAATGTATCAACTCCTTCGCTCGAGTCCAATGGAGAACAACCCTTGTGGTTCCTTCAGGTTAAATACTTAGCTTGCATTAATCTTCAGTTTATATGCTTACCCTCTTTGATGTTTATTGGACATTTTGGAACCAATTTGAAAATGGGGGTTTCTTCTTTTTATTGCATCACTTTATTTTCTGTTTGATTTCATTGTTCTCTTCAAAATAATTCATTTTCTTTCTTCTCTTCAGAATAACTTGTTTCTTTGCCAGAGTATAATATTTCCATTTTCTTTCTTGATGGGAGTTTTTGTTTTACGATTTCGATATTAGTTACTGTTCGTTAGCCATAAAATAATTCTCTTTCTATTTTGAACGCGGTGTGGTCAATGGGGTTGGCTTAACTTGTTAGAAACTTGAGAGAGCATCTTAGAAATTGAGTTAAAAGAATATGACTATGATTTAGCTTAGACACCGGCAAAATGAATTACAATACGAGGTATAATGTTCCTAAGTTCCTATTTGGGTTATTTAAATGTGGATTTTAATACAAAAGATTTTGGAATGCTGGTTGTGAGCCACAAAAATGTGACATGTGAACTATCCTAATATCTATAGATATTTGGAACTATTTTATTTCTCACGTGAATTATTAGTAATCTCCCCATTTATAAATTCTAATTGGAAGCCTTCAATTTCAGTTTCAGTGCAAAATTTGTTGTCAGCCGCACCTCAAGTTCTCAGAAACCTTTGTTAATTTTTCAGCTTAATCCAAAAGAGTTCCTGGCGAACTCCTTCTGGAAGCTCACAATCTTGAACACTTTAACCATGTTTCTTCTTCAAAGATCCAGAAAATTATTCGGATTAGGACCTTGGATCTCGTATATAAGAAGACAAAAAGATGAACTTTCCCCTTTGCATATGCATAAACTGGCAAAATACATTAGCTGACATTCTGCTTCCCATATCTAGTGCTAAAAGTTTGGTTAGGGAGCTGCCATCTGCTTTGTGAACTCTTCTGCTTTTGTCTCAATAGTTGCTAGTTTGTTATAAATTGTACAAGACTACAAGGTTAAAAGAATTATATAAATTATGCCATCTTTTGTGTTTGTGAGTTCGTTAAGAGTGTCGAAAATGCTATTTCAGATTTTCCTGAATAATGAAAATAGTAAGAAGCTTAGCTTTTAAATTAGTTTGTGATTACTGCCTGGACGAGGCTGACAAATCTTTTGCAGGCTTCACCGTTGCTCACTTCCCAAAGGCAAACTTGTGCACAAACTGCAGATATAGCTAAGATCGAGGGATTGCAGAACCAAGGAAACCCGCCCAATTCACAAACTACTCAATCTTCTTCTGTCACCTACCTATCAAGTTCAGCACAAGTAACAAATGGTCAGTTCTATCAGTATCCAGCTCTAGAAAGTATGAACAATGTCGCAAGTCCCCTACAAGATCCTTTCAAGATTGTATCACCCCAAATGGGTTTGGCTCCATTCAACCTTCAGAGCCATCAATCCCCTCCAGCTACACTTCAAGAAACTAGGGGTCCCAACAATCCTTCCTCTGAAAACTTTCCTCTCTCAGATATGATTTTGCTTTCTAGAAAACCTACAAACAATAATGAGGTCATGAGAACAGGAGAAGATGAGAAGAACGAGAACCCAAATTGTTCTGGTCAAGGAAGCAGTAGTCCAGTGTCAGAAAGTGTCAAAGTTTGGAGAAATGGAGATGTCAAGAATGCAAGAGATGGTATCGATTGTGAGCATATCCACGCAGGCCATTGCTTGACAAAAGGAGGCCTGTCAACCCACGAGGACACACCCCATTTTAGTGGAGAAGCTTCTATCTCTTCATCTATTCCAGGTTCCATGACAGATCAAAGGAATAAAGCAAAAGAGAAAAAGATGGTGAGAGATAGTCTTATCACAAAGATTGAATCCAAAAGAGAAATGGGCATTGGAGGAAACGGAGAGGATTCTGATGAAGAATCTACCTTGGAAGAAGGGAGTGAAAGCATGGCTGCCATGATACTGCTAAGCCTAGCTCCTGAAAATTCACAGGCCAATGGTGGGTGGCTTGATAGTCTTAAGCAAAAAATGGAGGGTGAGTCTAGTCATTCGAGTAGAGATAGTACAAGCCAACAAAAGAAACAGATACGGAGTACAAGGAGAGCTTCAAATAGAGTTGATGAGGAGGTTACATGGACCAAACCCATAAGGCGAAGAAGGCGGAGGACATGTCGTGTCAGCAACCGCATACCACCATCAAGAAGGCGGTAAGACCACTTGTTTTGTGCATACTTCTACTTTGGCTTCTGGTTCGCTCCGTCTAGGTATCATATATAGGAAGATAAACAACTCTGTTATGAATACGAGTACAAAACACAGGCCTGGTTAGTTTAGCAGCAGTTCTATAGTAACTTTCCTTTTGATCAGATCAGGATTTTTCTATTTCTTGAGTGGTTTTCCTGGTTCAAGGAAGTCCGTCCGACCTTGAATTCTGATCATCAGTAATGAAATGAACTTGTTTCAGTACAGGGTTATTGATTAGTTTTGTAAAGTGGGTGTGGCAATTGGGTATTATGTAAAACAAACACAGACGTTTATGCAGTGCATGTGAAGATTCCCTTATTGGTTGCATGTTGCATTTCCCTCCCTCCCTCTGTGTTGTCTATGCATGCGCGCATGTGTGTTTCCACTCATGAATGTGTTGTGTACATGCATTTGCAGGAATTTCAGAAATGCAATTGAAAAAAGCAGTTTGTTGAAATAATATTTTAAGCATAATCAGTACCAAAATGAAATACGATGGAGCACGTTTGGCCATTTTTTCCCTTTATAGTTTTCTATCAAAGTATAAAATATTGAGTAATGATCCTATGAGACTTTTTTCCACTCTGATGTGTGTAGGATCTCAAATGATCACACTATTAAATTTGGTACAGATCTCTAAAAAAGTCGAGTCCTATACCCATATGATAACTTTTTGTTGGAGTCAATGGTCTCGTAGGATCATTACTCAAAAATATTTAGCCCAACGATTTTTGTTACGGTTTTTATTTGGCCAACAGATCACTTCTACGTAGATTGTATTAATGGAGTTAAGTAGTCAATGGCTTACTAAGCTTTACATTTTAACAATTTGTTTTAGTCCAAGAGGCTTATGCCTCTCTTGCAATGGTCTAAAAAACGGATCGGTGATCCGGATCGGGCTTCCAAAAAATCGATCCGGATCGACGAATCGGCGATCCGGATCGGGAATCGGGTGAATCGGTCAGAATAAAGCTTAAAAAAAATTCGAAAAAATTATTAAAATTTATTATAAATATTGGTTTTTAGGAATTCAATAAAAAATGAGGGTACTCCATTAAGAATTTTCATGTTTTTGAATGAATATGCGAATATTGATATGTTCTTTCCTTGTATGAACCGCCATTCAGCATTTAATTTACAGTATTTCGTGTTCATCCCTACATTGTTGCTGTTGGGACTCGATATGTGAATAATATGGTTGGGATAGGGTGGCTTCAGAATTATCATCTCTCTCGTTTTCTTTTTGAATAATATGGATTAAAAAAAAAAAACAAATTTTCAAAAAAATCG